AAAGAAGGAAAAGGTCCACAGCATCAATGATCCTACTCGGTATGAGGTCTATTCCTATATATTGTTTCGGAATTAAATTCCAGGGAAATTTATTGCACTTCATATTTTTATATGTGTGATGGATGAACAGAATTTTTTTTTTTTTTTCAGCAGGCCTTCCAAACTGCTGGAATATTAAACAGATCTAATGGTGGCTTTGGACACTTAGTGACCTCAAGCTGTCACTTTTTTTCTGCAGTTACCACATTAGTGAGATTTGGACATCTGGCTTCCTTACTGCTCTTAAACCTGGATCCTTATGTTGTAGAGAAACTTATATAAATAGGCTGATGACCGGTATCTGCAGAATTGACACTTGACCTTCCCAAATCGGTAACTATGATATTGAAAATTTGATCTTCACCAAAGTAAGAGGTTTTAGTTAGAATTCACAGCACCTTTCTTTATAGATGTGTTCAATGCATTTTGAGACTTAAAGTTGGGTATTTCCAGCCTTGGTGAGGCATTCATTAAAACCAAAGCAAATCAGAGGCAAAGAGATTAAAAAAGCTTCCTGAAAAGAAACTGTATTCCTCATGTTTTCATTCTGAGGTTCAAAAATGCTGTGGATAGTGAGTGAGAGCAAGACTTTCAGCAGATAATAGGAAGGTTAACTGGAGTTTATATTGTTTTTGTTTTTTTTATAGAGTCTTCAAATGTAGTTGTCATAAAGCAGAAACGATTTTCAAGATATTGTCTGTTTATTTTTGGGGGGGGGAATATGTGGTTGCTATTTTAGTAATAACACCCTTATTACTAGGGCTGGTTAAAAAAATCGATACAATCGATTTTGAATCGATTCCTTTACATTTTTGCTAAATCGATGTCTAGGAAATGAGATCGATTAGTTTTATAGTGACCCGTGTTACGTTTACATTCAAATAAGCAGGAAAGATGCACTCAAGATAACTTTAAGCCAGACAGTTGCAAATATAGCCAATAGGTGGACTGAAGACATTAACAAATGGGGGCTGACCAGCAAACCAAAAACGCTGCAAATATGGTTTGTGCAGTAGAGATAATGAAGCTTGTGCATGTCTGCTGTGTCACGTCCGCTTGCTCGAGTGAGGCTTCACTTTTTCACTTTTCACAAACAAGTTTGCACTTGAGACAGTTTTGTTCACATCTCAAGTTTCAACTGTCTGATTTACAAGTTTGCACTTTGTGTTTAATATTACTGGGGAAATTAAAATACATGAGTATTTTGAAACACAGTTGAACCACTTTCATTATTGTAAAAACAGATCGAATCGAAATTAATCGATTTAGAACTGTATAAATCAAAATCGAATCGGGCGAAAATACCCAGCCCTACTTATTATCTTAGTTTTATTCATTTTATGAGATTGTAACCGATAGCAATAAAGGTGGCAGGGGTGAGGTTGTTACATTTTCTTTCTTACAATGGGACTTTTCAAAGCAAGCTTGTGTTAGAAGTGTGGACCTCTACAGCATAGACCATCACACTTCTGATACAATCTATATACCGTACAACTAAATATTTAAACAGATTAATTGTACTGTTTAGATATTGAAATGGTTTTAGTCTGAGCAGGGCAAATAATCTAATGGAATCGCTAAAAAATCCAGTTTGAAGTGCCCGAAACCAACCGTTAAGGTCCCACCAATCACGGCCTTACTCTATGGTGATGCATACCCCTTGGCCAGCAAATTGTGGTGCACAGATGGTCGTCCACCGGTGCACACAGCAGCATGCTGTGCAGCAACACGCACATTGAGATGCAAGCAGGCGCCCGAGCAGAAGCCCTCTCATCAGTGTGATAAGTGTCTGCTCAGCCCCTCGGTTTGTTTTCATTTGATTTTCATTTCAAAGAGCACAAGGACCAGTGGCGTACGGATAGGGATCTGAAGAGCGGCCAGATGTGCCGCTGCATTTATGAGTACATGGGTTGGTGGAGAGTCTGCTGCCCTTTCCCTTGTTTTTTAACTGTACAACTACATGCGTGTTTTGATGGAAGATGATACATCGCACAGCAGTCAGGCTGGCCTTTTAAACAGCCAGATTATCTGATGACATGAGACACATCCTCTTCCTCCACCAACCAAAGCGCAGCTTCAAACGTACACATACGTCATGATCTCAAATGCAACTAAATGTCCTGATCCAACCAACCTGTGCATGAACTTTGTGGCAACCTCACTCTGCTCAGTGCTTCCATTATGAGATAGAGCAGCTCTGTATGGTAAAAGGATCACTTTCAATTATCTCTCGATGGATTATTCAGCAGATCAAGACTCAGTCAAGCAAGAGTTAAGGCTCAAACACGTGGATAATCTTACATATTATACCTAATATGTGCCAAGAGGGGCTGGCTCTTTTCATGCAAGTCAGCGCACTTACAGTACCTTTCCTTCCTTTATAAAAATCTCAGGAGCCTTAATCAAATGTTTCTGTTGCCACCGGGGCCACCGATAAGGACGCTCTAACATCTCCGATACATTTAGTCACATAATAACCACTGACTTCACTGCGTTTCATTGGGATTTTATATACTAGAGCAACATTAAGAAGTGATTGAGTGAAAAATGATGAAAGGTTTATATTCTTTCAAAGGTTTGTTGAAAATGAAATAAAAAACTAAAAAGCTAGGTTTTTTATTTTACCTCCCCTCTTTGATATGAAATCCCTAAAGAGCTATAATTAGTATAGTTAAACTGATGCATGGGTGGGTTGATATCAGAGTTTTCTTCTTGCAACGCTGTTGGTTGAATTTGTTCTCCGATTTGTTAGATCATTCAGCAGACATGCCTTGAGATCGTATGAAGGATAATTCAGATTATCAAGAAGTAAAGAAACTCTTTTATCAATCAAATAAAGAATGAAGTCTTGTTAATAAAAAACAGATTTCTTTCAAGCTAATTTAGTGAATATGGGTGCTGTCATTTTAGCCGTTTATGTTAGACCCAGTTTAAAAAATAAATTTCCAATTCAAACGGAATGCAAAGTTGTCTACATAGCAAGGAGAGTGAAATATAGATAGATAGATAGATAGACAGACAGACAGACAGACAGACAGACAGACAGACAGACAGACAGACAGACCCTTTAATAAATAAAACAATAAAAGACATCTGGGGTCGCTGGTCCCTATCTCCAGCTGTCAATCGGCGAGAGGCGGGGTACACCCTGGACAGGTTGCCAGTCCATCACAGGGCAACATAAACGGGACAAACAACCATTCGCACAAACACTCACACCTAAGGAGAATTTAGGAGAAGCCAATTAACCTAATAGTCTGTGGTTAATTGGCTCCCACAACTGTGGGAGGAAGGAGTACCTGGAGAAAACCCATGCATGCACAGGGAGAACATGCAAACTCCATGCAAAAATACCGCGGGCCAGGAATTGAACCTGGAACCTTCTTGTTGTACGGCAATGACGCTACCCACTGCGTCACTGTGCAGCCCAAAATTTAACATTAGAAAGGAAAAATAGCCAATTCTACACGGTTGGTGAACAAACATTGCTTTGAAAATCCAGGAACAAAGCAAGCAGGTCAGTTTAAAAAAAAACCTAATGATGTTTTCTGTTAATCGACCATCCAGAACTGAACAGAACTGAGCAGATGAGAACAGAAAGAGCTGCAGTATAGACTGAAATTGGAGTTCTCATTAAAATAGTAGGTGTTTAAGTAGGGACAGTTTGAATCCAATATTCACTAAGCTTGTATATGTTGTGAGCTATACCTTCCACATGACACAGCCAAGGAAGACGCCGCAAAGTTGGAATGCTAATG